TCACAAGCTCATGATACTCCATCAGAAGCATCCAACAGTCATATAAACAAAACAAAATAAAACAAAGTAGAGTATGGGCCCCTATAATAGGTATGTAGAGAACAGTATATACAATGTGGAAAAAGCCTCTTCACAATAGTTATGTCTCAGAAGGAGGACTGAGACTCCTCCACCACTGTACAGGGCCAACCATGTACCTGTCAGTTTGGTAGCGGGAGATAGCAGTGACTGAACACAATAGGGAAAAACTAACAACTTAACCAAGAAAAAAGAAAAACTGGATGTATCCAGTAGAGTTGTGAAAAAAAATGAAAACAAAACGCTGTAAGATATCTAGTAGAGTATTCCGTAAAAACCACTCAGTCTCCTTGCCTCCACTCCTGACGTTATGATTAGAATGTCATCCCCTCATGGTACCATAAGCCAGTTCCCCAGTCTCCCGGCTCCACGCAGGATGTATATGAAAAGATGATTCTTTTAGATCATATTTTGATGTTTGCAACTTTCTAGGGCTGAAAGTTATTTTCTATTCGGAATCAAGTAGTTTATTGGGTGGTTTGGAGGATTTACCGTATTGTATACTTATACTTATGTTTTATTTTTTTACAGCTTGGTTGCCTTCACAGCTGACCCGACATGGATGTGTCACCACCACCTCCTTGTGGCCAGCTCTTGCACAGTAGATACGGACAGGCTCCCAGCTTCATCTAACGGTCTGGTTCTTGAGAGGGGGAGGCTGGATGCCTTAGGCTGTCCGGTTGAGGTCATCCCTTATCCTGAAGAATGCTAGGAGATCAAGTAGATTGGTGGACTATATCTCGACCATCCTATACTAATCTGATGGTTCAGGATGTCCTGGGATTCCTACAGTCAGCCTCTATCTGCCCCTGTGGGTCAAAACCCCCAGGGTTTAAGTATCAGCTGTCTCGGCCTTCACTGGAGTATTATGGGTCGACCACTCTCATTCCGGCAATTCTTTAAGGGGGGCTATTGGTTAAGGCCCCAGAGAAAACCGAGGTTCCCTAAATGGGACCTCCTGCTTGTCTTCGACTTCTTCTCTGGAGTCATCCCAGAATCTGCTGGTGCACCTATAGTGAGGGAGCTCTCCACCAAGGCAGCCTTTCTGGTGGTGGTTACATCAGCAAAAAGAGTCTCTGAAATCGGCATCTTTGGCTGCAAAGAACCATTTTTTAAGTTTTTCCTGGACTGAGTGGTGTTCATCCCTATGTTAGGTTCTAATCTTATAGTGACCTTGGTCTTCCACAAAAACCAGGATATTGTCCTGTCAAAGTTTAGAACCTCTGGAATCAATGATGTTCACCCCTGGACGTGGGTGAGACCTTAAAGCTGTAATTGCAGGTCATAGGGTCCTTCCGTAGGTCGGACCATCTATTCATTCTTTTCCATGGGAAGATTAAAATAGACCAGGCTTCTCCCAGCTCAGTCATGGCCTGGATTGTCCAGGCCATCCAAATGGCCTACAGAGTTAAGGGCTTGATGCCTCAGGAGGTGGTGACCACACACTCAACCAGAAGTGTGGCTACATCCTGGGCGGCTTCTCAGCATATCGGCCCTGAGATGATCTACAGAACTGCTTCATGGTCCTCAATCAAAACTTTTATGGCTCATTACTGTGTAGAGCCTGCTTCCTTATCCTCTGTTAATTTTGGCTTGAAAGTCCAGTCAGTTGATGGGCAAATTAAAGTCTTTGTTTGAGTAACTGCCCACCCGTGTGTGTATGGCTAGTTATTTCTCAAATGTATGTTGCCATGGAGTCTGTCAGGAGGAGCAAAGATTTATGGGAGTGGGGTCCTATAGGAGAGGAGAGGGTAGGACTAACTAATACATATGCTGCCATGGAGTCCATCAGGAAAGGAAAATTACGGTAAGTATGTGATATGAAATTTTACGTTTTATGTGTGGTTTAACTGGTAAAAGCAATTCTTCCTGAAAATCCTCAACTAACTAGAAGGTATTTTTTTATATTACTAGATGTTGTCATCTCTGTAAACATTGGGGTTGATTTACTAAAAGCAAATAGGTTGTTATACAGTAAATATAAGTGGTGTAACGGCACTCAAAATTTTTAATTACTATTTGTAAAATAAACAATGTAATAAGAAAATCAATCAAACAATAAATAAGCAAATACTTCGTATTACATATATCATGTGCATAATTCAGTGCAACTCAACTACTAATCAGTAAACCATAAATAAATCATATAAGTATAAATAGGCTGTTAACTTTGCAAAGGAATAAGCACTTTGCAAGGGAATTTTCCCCAAAATGTAGTGAATGAGGTGAAGTTCTGGTGACTTCCATCATCCAATTATGTGCAAGCACATCCTTGCACATTATTGGGTATACTTTGTAACATGAAACCATAGCTTGCTCACAAAGCTCTGTGGAAATGTTGAAATTAATTCTTGACATAGAGTGTTAAGTCTCAGAAAACGTTATAGAGAAGTACATCTGATTATGTTTAAGCAATAGCAATAAAGGTCTTTATAGACTTAGTGCTGCCCTAAAGTGTATGTTTCCTTGATATTTCATATTCCTGATATGTCTGCTGTCCCATGTTCTTGTATTAAAAAGTATCCTGTTCTCTTTGCATTGCTTCCTTTGTGGGAAATTCCTGGTGATTCCCCTGGAGTCCCCCTGCTTTCCTGTTTCAAACTGACCATACTAAGCATGGAAACACATCCATCCCTGTGTGAACAATTTACGTCTTTGCATTCTATTTGAGAGTACTACCTGTCTATACCCCAGTGGTCAGACTTGTGCTTACATGCCCCCTTCCACAGCATCTTCCAGGGGGAAGATTATTGTGCTGCTGTTTCTCTGCATCTTGCTGCTGACCCAACCCCCTGCAGTCTCCACCACCTACTCCTCTAAACCCCTTATTTAGTTTAAAACAAAGGTTGTGTGATCATTTAAAAAAAAGTAGTATATATATATATATATATATATATATATACAGTCAGGTCCATAAATATTGGGACATCGACACAATTCTAACATTTTTGGCTCTATACACCACCACAATGGATTTGAAATGAAACGAACAAGAGGTGCTTTAACTGCAGACTGTCAGCTTAAATTTGAGGGTATTTACATCCAAATCAGGTGAACGGTGTAGGAATTACAACAGTTTGCATATGTGCCTCCCACTTTTTATGGGACCAAAAGTAATGGGACAATTGGCTTCTCAGCAATTCCATGGCCAGGTGTGTGTTATTCCCTCATTATCCTAATTACAATGAGCAGATAAAAGGTCCAGAGTTCATTTCAAGTGTGCTGTTTGCATTTGGAATCTGTTGCTGTCAACTCTCAAGATGAGATCCAAAGAGCTGTCACTATCAGTGAAGCAAGCCATCATTAGGCTGAAAAAACAAAACAAACCTATCCGAGAGATAGAAAAAACATTAGCCGTGGCCAAAACAACTGTTTGGAACATTCTTAAAAAGAAGGAACACACCGGTGAGCTCAGCAACACCAAAAGACCCGGAAGACCACGGAAAACAACTGTGGTGGATGATCAAAGAATTCTTTCCTTGGTGAAGAAAACACCCTTCACAACAGTTGGCCAGATCAAGAACACTCTCCAGGAGGTAGGTGTATGTGTGTCAAAGTCAACAATCAAGAGAAGACTTCACCAGAGTGAATACAGAGGGTTCACCACAAGATGGAAACCATTGGTGAGCCTCAAAAACAGGAAGGCCAGATTAGAGTTTGCCAAACAACATCTAAAAAACCCTTCACAGTTCTGGAACAACATCCTATGGACAGATGAGACCGAGATCAACTTGTACCAGAGTGATGGGAAGAGAAGAGTATGGAGAAGGAACTGCTCATGATCCTAAGTAGAGATGAGCGAATTATTCAAAAATTCGATTCGGCTGATTCGCCGAATTTGTGGAATAAATTCGATTCGATGCGAATTTATTCGCTGCGAATTTAACGTATAAAAAGGGTTTCTAGGCTTCAGAGAGCCTTTATATTAGTGCAGAACACTGTACCTTTAATTTAAATGCCCTTGGAGTCTGCTGGGGAAGAGAAATAATACTGTCAGTCAGTATGACATGCAGATGAGTGCCGTCGATCTTAGAATCACCGCACACTTCACTCATTTGGGCAGTCACGGGGCCAAAACCAGAGTGTGGAGCCACAGTGTGGCGGTGGAGGCAGCAGCAATGGGAGGCCATACAGCACCCTATGACAAAATGGAACCCACCAGCAGTGTGAGGAGACCTGAAAGTGGCACATGGCAGAGTGTGGCGATGGAGACAGCAGCAATGGGAGGCCGTACAGGGACCCATGACACACTCTGGACCTGGCAGCAGCATGAGGAGGCGGTACAGGGGCCCATGGCAAGAAGAAGAAGAAGAAGAAGAAGTAGGATGAGGATGAAGAAGAAGAAGAAGAAGAAGAAGAAGTAGGATGAGGATGAAGAAGAAGAAGTAGAAGAAGGAGAAGAAGAAGTAGGATGAGGATGAAAGAAGAAGAAGAAGTAGGATGAGGATGAAGAAGAAGAAGAAGAAGAAGTAGGATGAGGAAGAAGAAGAAGAAGAAGAAGAAAAAGAAGTAGGATGAGGATGAAGAAGAAGAAGAAGTAGGATGAGGATGAAGAAGAAGAAGAAGTAGGATGAGGATGATGAAGAAGAAGAAGAAGTAGGATGAGGATGAAGAAGAAGAAGAAGAAGAAGAAGTAGGATGAGGATGAAGAAGAAGAAGAAGAAGAAGTGTAGGATGAGGATGAAGAAGAAGAAGAAGAAGAAGTAGGATGGGGATGAAGAAGAAGAAGAAGATGAGGATGAAGAAGAAGGATGAGGATGAAGAAGAAGAAGAAGAAGTAGGATGAGGATGAAGAAGAAGAAGAAGTAGGATGAGGATGAAGAAGAAGAAGAAGAAGTAGGATGAGGATGAAGAAGAAGAAGAAGAAGTAGGATGAGGATGAAGAATAAGAAGAAGAAGAAGAAGTAGGATGAGGATGAAGAAGAAGAAGAAGAAGAAGGATGAGGATGAAGAAGAAGAAGAAGTAGGATGAGGATGAAGAAGAAGAAGAAGAAGAAGAAGAAGTAGGATGAGGATGAAGAAGAAGAAGAAGAAGAAGAAGAAGTAGGATGAGGATGAAGAAGAAGAAGAAGAAGAAGTAGGATGAGGATGATGAGGATGAAGAAGAAGTAGGATGAGGATGAAGAAGAAGTAGGATGAGGATGAAGAAGAAGAAGAAGAAGGATGAGGATGAAGAAGAAGAAGTAGGATGAGGATGAAGAAGAAGAAGAAGAAGAAGTAGGATGAGGATGAAGAAGAAGAAGTAGAAGAAGAAGAAGAAGAAGTAGGATGAGGATGAAGAAGAAGAAGAAGAAGAAGAAGAAGAAGTAGGATGAGGATGAAGAAGAAGAAGAAGAAGAAGTAGGATGAGGATGAAGAAGAAGAAGAAGAAGTAGGATGAGGAAGAAGAAGAAGAAGTAGGATGAGGATGAAGAAGAAGAAGAAGAAGAAGAAGAAGTAGGATGAGGATGAAGAAGCAGAAGAAGAAGAAGAAGAAGAAGTAGGATGAGGATGAAGAAGAAGAAGAAGAAGAAGGATGAGGATGAAGAAGAAGGAGAAGAAGAAGTAGGATGAGGATGAAGAAGAAGAAGAAGAAGTGTAGGATGAGGATGAAGAAGAAGAAGAAGAAGAAGAAGAAGTAGGATGAGGATGAAGAAGAAGAAGAAGATGAGGATGAAGAAGAAGGATGAGGATGAAGAAGAAGAAGAAGAAGAAGTAGGATGAGGATGAAGAAGAAGAAGTAGGATGAGGATGAAGAAGAAGAAGAAGAAGTAGGATGAGGATGAAGAAGAAGAATAAGAAGAAGTAGGATGAGGATGAAGAAGAAGAAGAAGAAGAAGAAGAAGAAGAAGAAGAAGAAGAAGAAGAAGAAGAAGGATGAGGATGAAGAAGTAGGATGAGGATGATGATGAATGAAGAAGAAGAAGTAGGATGAGGATGAAGAAGAAAGAAGAAGTAGGATGAGGATGATGAAGAAGAAGAAGAAGTAGGATGAGGATGAAGAAGAAGAAGTAGGATGAGGATGATGAAGAAGAAGTAGGATGAGGATGAAGAAGAAGAAGAAGTGAGGATGAGGAGAAGAAGAAGTAGGATGAGGATGAAGAAGAAGGATGAAGAAGAAGGATGAGGATGAAGATGAAGAAGAAGAAGAAGAAGTAGGATGAGGATGAAGAAGAAGAAGAAGAAGTAGGATGAGGATGATGAAGAAGAAGAAGAAGAAGTAGGATGAGGATGAAGAAGAAGAAGAAGTAGGATGAGGATGAAGAAGAAGAAGAAGAAGTAGGATGAGGATGAAGAAGAAGAAGAAGAAGAAGAAGTAGGATGAGGATGAAGAAGAAGAAGAAGAAGAAGAAGAAGAAGAAGTAGGATGAGGATGAAGAAGAAGAAGAAGTAGGATGAGGATGATGAAGAAGAAGAAGAAGAAGTAGGATGAGGATGAAGAAGAAGAAGAAGAAGAAGGAGGATGAGGATGAAGAAGAAGAAGTAGGATGAGGATGAAGAAGAAGGATGAGGATGAAGAAGAAGAAGAAGAAGTAGGATGAGGATGAAGAAGAAGAAGAAGTAGGATGAGGATGAAGAAGAAGAAGAAGAAGTAGGATGAGGATGAAGAAGAAGAAGAGGATGAGGATGAAGAAGAAGAAGAAGAAGAAGAAGTAGGATGAGGATGAAGAAGAAGAAGAAGTAGGATGAGGATGAAGAAGAATTCCATTCCAGCAAAAAGTGTATCTGCAGAGAGCTCCGCTATTTCTGACAGTTCTCTGACAGTTCCTTCACATTTACAGCGGTTGAAACATTGTATCTATTTGTTTCCGAATAAAAACATCTGTATCCTAAATGGAAACAAATAGATACAATGTTTCAACTGCTGTAAATGTGAAGGAACTGTCAGAGAACTGTCAGAAATAGCGGAGCTCTCTGCAGGGACACTTTTTGCCGGCTGTAGAAGGGATGAAAATCGGCCGATCGATCGGGGAAAATTTGATTCGTGCATCCGAAGTTTGCTAATATTCGGATTCGGCGCGAATCAAATTTTTCCTAATATTTGAAACGAATTCCACTTCACCAGGTTCGATTTGCTCATCTCTAATCCTAAGCATACCACCTCATCAGTGAAGCATGGTGGTGGTAGTGTCATGGCGTGGGCATGTATGGCTGCCAATGGAACTGCTTCTCTTGTATTTATTGATGATGTGACTGCTGACAGAAGCAGCCGGATGAATATACTGAAGTGTTTCGGGCAATATTATCTGCTCATATTCAGCCAAATGCTTCAGAACTCATTGGACGCCGCTTCACAGTACAGATGGACAATGACCCAAAGCATACTGCAAAAGCAACCAAAGAGTTTTTTAAGGGAAAGAAGTGGAATATTATGCAATGGCCAAGTCAATCACCTGACCTGAATCTGATTGAGCATGCATTTCACTTGCTGAAGACAAAACTGAAGGGAAAATGCCCCAAGAACAAGCAGGAACTGAAGACAGTTGCAGTAGAGGCCTGGCAGAGCATCACCAGGGATGAAACCTGCGTCTGGTGATGTCTATGCGTTCCAGACTTCAGGCTGTAATTGACTGCAAAGGATTTGCAACCAAGTATTAAAAAGTGAAAGTTTGATTTATGATTATTATTCTGTCCCATTACTTTTGGTCCCTTAAAAAGTGGGAGGCACATATGCAAACTGTTGTAATTCCTACACCGTTCACCTGATTTGGATGTAAATACCCTCAAATTAAAGCTGACAGTCTTCAGTTAAAGCACATCTTGTTCGTTTCATTTCAAATCCATTGTGGTGGTGTAAAGAGCCAAAAATGTTAGAATTGTGTCCATGTCCCAATATTTATGGACCTGACTGTATATATACACACACACACACACTGATCAGTCACAACTTTATGATCATTGAAAAGTGAATAACATTGATTATCTTATTACATCTGAATGTGGGTGGGATATATTAGGCAGCAAGAGAACATGTTGTCCATGAAGTTCATGTGTTGAAAGCAGAAAAAATATATTCTCAACAACACCCATTCCAAATTCCTGAAAGTTTGGGACCCCTGGTTGTCATCTGCCCTTCCAACCCTGCCCCTGACTAGCATGGGTGCCTCTAGTCCCACTACCTCTTGCTAACATGCAGACTTCGCTCTCTTTCCTTTTCTTCCTTCCTGACTCTTGTCTTTTCCCCTATTTCGCATTGCTTTCTTTTTTCTCAGGGTTTTCCCTGTCTTTCCCTTTGCTTCTTATTTTCCACCCTCCCTTCCCTGCCATTCACCCCTCCCCAGAGTTTTGGTCTGGACCTTTTAAGTCCCCCATTTAGGCCTAGCCCAGCCCTCTGAGGAAGTGTAAGCACACGAAACGCATTAGGGAGGTGGCCCTGTTTTTTAATCTGTATATGCTGGAATTTTGTGAATTAAAGACCTACTGCACTATTGGAAGCTTTCTCTGGGCTCATCATTTCCATGGGAGCCCGCTTTTGAAGGTTCCTGATGACCTGGATTGGTGTGTGACCTCTCCCTCCCCCCTGGTGACTGGCATAGTGGACGTTTAAAGAGTACACCTAGATTGATGACACCTAGTGGCCTATACGCTGATGACATCTTCATGGTATTACAAGTCCAGAGCACCAGGAGCAGGTCATAATTGCTCCACGCGCAGTTAATGCGCTATCTGGTTAGTTCAATGTTTGTATACTTTCAAGAGCACAAGAGTCACAGTTATCCCTCTATTGCGGATTTATGAACATTTGCACATAATCACTTTGCTGTACCACTATATATGGACTAAGTTGCTGGAATATGATATTGTGCAATTTCTGATCTATCTGATTCTATATATTTTTTCATCTGTCTGATTCTATATTTTTTACATTAGCGCTGCATACTTATTTTATATTGGTTGGGCTGGACAGTTTGTCGCATTATATGTTGAAAACATAAATGTTACTATTGTAGTTGTATCTGTACATCTCCCCTGCGTGGGAACCAAGTCTTTTGTGTTCTCTTTGCTCTGCTTACATTGTATTTCAATAAAAAATATTGTACCAGAAAGCAGAAAAAATAGGCTTTGCAGTTTGTTACATATGGGGCTAAGTAGCTGCAGGTCAGTCTAGATGCCCATGCTGATGTGTATCCACAGCCAAAAACACCTAAAATGGGCAAGTGAACATCATAACTGGACCATGGGAGAAGTGGCCTGGTCTGATGAATCACATTTCTTTTAGATCATGCAGATGGCCAAGTGCATGCGTGTCACTTACCTAGGGAAGAGATGGCACCAGGATGCACTATGGGAAGAAGGCAAATCGGCCTTCATTTGGATGTTACTTTGACATGTACCACCTACCTAAAAATTGTTGCTGAGCAAGTACACCCCTTCATGGAAACTTTACTCCCTAACAGCAGTGGCCTCTTTCAGAAGAATAATGCACTCTGCCACAATTCCACAAGAATGGTTTTAGGAACACAAGATTGAGGTGTTGATTTGGGCTCCAGATTCTCCAGATCTCAATCCATCAAGCATCTGTGGGATGTGCTGGAAAAACAAGTTCGATGAATGGAGACCCCACTTCACAAATTACAGGACTTACATCTGCTTCTGACGTCTTGGTGCAAGATACCACACCAAACCTTGAAGGTCTAGTGGCATCCATGCCTTGGTGAGTAAGAGCTATTTTAGTGGCAAAAAGGTTTTTTTGGGGGCAAAGGTGGACCAACTCAATATTAGGTGGATGGTCATAATTATTATATATATAATGCTTTTATAGCTGTTTTTTTTCAGGTTAATTAAAAAAATGCTAATTTTGCCTAGGTTTAGAGGAGTAAGCAGCTATACTTTCCTTTTTAGTTGCACCCCTGGCAACTGGTGCACTATGATACTCCAAGATGTGGGCAGGATCTTCCTCATATACATTGCAGGACTGCTACGCCTCCATTGTACATGAGGATGTCAGAATGCCTGCAACCTGCAGAGTGGCAAAAGGCAGCAGCTTTGAGGAGCCCATCATACAGAGTGGAGAAAGTCTGCAGAAGCAAGAGAAAAGATAAGTATAGCTGCTTATTCCTCTACTGCTAGAAGTAATAAGCATTTAAAGTGTTACTAAACCCAGGACCCTGCATTCAGTATATCAGGTCTCCAACAGTATACAGCACATGGAAATGCAATTATTTTAGTAAGTATAAACTGCTAAATACCTTTTCTCATCAGCAGTTAGAGCAGTCTTGTGGCTTCTATCAGTGTTCAGTCAAGCACTAGCTAAAGCTTGTAGGAGGAGTTTTCTTTCTGCTCTAGGAGGATGCAAAACTCTTGATCTCTGTCTCACCAGTGCTGATTGGCCCTGTGCTGATCACATGCACTCTCTCAAGAAAAAAAAAACCTCTCTAACAATACACACCAAACTGAGCATGTGCAAAATGCCTATGGTTCAGTCTGTCTTATCAGGAGATAAGAGGTGGTCGCTTGAACAAGGGGAGGAACAGAGCAGTCAGGATCAAACGGCCTTTTTACACAATGCAGAGACTTAACCCTTTAGTTTCCACAGTGAGTATAACAAGCATGCTTTACTACATACAAGTGAAACTCGAAAAATTAGAATATCGTGCAAAAGTTCATTTATTTCAGTAATGCAACTTAAAAGGTGAAACGAATATATGAGATAGACTCATTACATGCAAATCAAGATAGTTCAAGCTGTGATTTGTCATAATTGTGATGATTATGGCTTATAGCTCATGAAAAACCCAAATCCACAATCTCAGAAAATTAGAATATTACATGCAATCAATAAAACAAGGATTGTACATAGAACAATATCGGACCTCTGAAAAGTATAAGCATGCATATGTACTCAGTACTTGGTTTGGGCCCCTTTTGTAGCAATTACTGCCACAATGCGGCGTAGCATGGAAGCTATCAGCCTGTGGCACTGCTGAGGTGTTATGGAAGGATGCTTCAATAGCGGCCTTCAGCTCTTCTGCATTGTTCGGTCTCATGTCTCTCATCTTTCTCTTGGCAGGCTGATTGGCAGGCTGATTTTACTGTTGTGGGTTTAGTAACACTTTAACTCCTTCAGTGTCTGTGTGTGTGGTGGTGGTCGTCGTGCTGTGGGGAGGGGGAGGGGGTTGAGCGGAAAGGATCATAGTACACATTACTTGTGACAAACAGTTGTCTAGCATTATATAAAACAGTGGAGGCTATCAGAGTAATCTTTGACGAAAATAAGCATTGTACTTTCTTCATTCTGTATTCAGGTACAGTCTTACATGTTCTGCTGACTGTGAATGATATGTTGTAAAATACATAAAAGCTTCATAAGAAATGTCAATTCCAACAGCTTCATGCTTAGCAGAGTGAATACACTTTGTTGATTCCATCCATATCCAGTAATGCCAGTTTCAATCAGAACTCTAGCTGAAGCCTTTTCCCCGGAGGAAGAATGTGAATGCATTTAATGCAACAATTATTGGAATACAGTAGAAGAAGAATAGAGGCAACATGGTTCTGAATGTTTGCACAAGAACTGGAAACTTGTAAAGACGGCTTTACTATGTTGCTTTCTGTAAAATCAATCTACAGTCTGAGATATAAGACAAGTACTGTATGTGTTGTTGCCTATTGACTCATTATATTATGACCTGCCAACAACAAATTAGTGCAAAGAAAAACATTCATGGGATTCTAAATGTGCAACGAGCATGAAATATTTAATTGGTTGCGTTAGAGTTTATCTGAACCTTAACAATGAACTTATTGTATTTGTTATGTAAAGGTACCATTGAAAGCAACTTGTTATATCTGTTCAATAAGTGAGCTGCCCTGTGCACAGCGTGTCATGTCAAGGAATCTAAATAGCCCTCTCAGTTAATCAAAGGCCAACTGAGCAGGGTTGACACTCAGACTACAAAAATGCTGTGTGCTGTCAGCCCACAACAGGACATGGGAAGCAAATGCATGGGAGATCAACAAGAGTTTTTTTCTGTACTTGCATGGCTTTTTAAAAGAATGAAATATGGGGAAATGTGCAAAAATGTACTGTATATATATTTTTTAACCTAACATTAACTTTAAAGCAATTCTAAAATGATAAATAAAAGCTATGCATGTTGACAAGATAGTGGATCTTATGTGTTCCACTGCCTGGGCCACCAATCACTGCTTTATTGAAGAGAAATCATCCTCCAAAGGCTCTTTTGAACCATTACTGGTGATGTTGATCTGGTCCACTGATGTGCTCAGTGGTTACTTGTGCCAACCACTACAGGACACAGCAATGAAGAAGTCTATGTCCACCACCATCAGGACAAAGGAAGTAAGTATTTGGGTGAGGTTCAAATTACGACAACCTGAACCTGTCCATTAAAGCCCAACTCTGGGAACAATAATTTTAACAAGTTTACAGCTGTTAATATTTCTTTACTTGGCTGTAAATTACGTTCATGCAGGCTCTTTATAAAGTTTAACTTTTACACAGTCCTTTCAGTTGTTGAAATAATAGAATTCCCACTGTACTTCTGAACCACTCCTAAGTACTGCTAGTCACATGTAAAGTCTCCAACCCCCTTTCTCATGGTCTTTCGACAAAAATTATGCCTGTGACCATGTGTTTTGTGAAAGTCCAATGGATGGGAGGGAGACACAACACCAGTGCTGGGGTCTATGAAACATGCATTGCTCCTGTCTGGAGTAGCCCAAAAGTACAGCTGGAGCTCTATTAATCCTGACAATTGAAAGTATTGCTTAAAACAACTCTGAAAACGCCTGCATGAACTCATTAAAAAAATATTAACAGCTGAAAACATGCTAAACACACATACTGTACTTGGAGTTGAGCTTTAAAGCTAACATTTTCACACAGGACAATGAAGACATAAAATGTAAAAATAAAAAAAAAAGAACGTAGAGTTTTTGGGCAGAATAGACATGCAAAGTCTCTTCTGGCAAAAACCTGCTTTTTCTCACTTTTCTTTGTATGGACACTGTAAGGGGCACACACCAAGTTGTGTACACATCGGCTAGTTTTCTGCCATGTCATAGATGCGTTGAATGAAATAGAGTGTGAAAAACAATGTAACTGCTGTGTACATGTGCCAGGAGTCACATCATCATAAATCGCAGCAATTTTTTTGGAGGGAAAGGGATATCTTTTTTTGGCAGAGTGCAGCCAGCGAATGACCCCCCCGCCCACAGCCTCCTGTGATAGCCAAATGACAAACACCAGGAAGCTTCAGATCTATTTAGAATACATTGGGCATGTTTAGGGTAGTGTCATCAGTAGGCTGGCCCCCCAAAGAGATCACAAAGAAAATGGCAACACAGGACCTGGTGTTTGGTGACTTTCAGCTGGTTACAGATGGACTATACTAGATTTACTAAGCAAGTGCGTATGTCATTATGGCTCAACCCAGCAAACAAGGTAGGAAAGTGTAAAGATCAAAACTAACCTGGAGGGGGATAAAGTTCCTCCCTATGTGCCCCACATGCATACACAAGCTGAGAGATATAGCCACAACATAAACTACTGCAATGCTCACTTTTAGGCTAGGTTCACACCTGTGACGTAATGCGGCATCCGACCCCTGCTTGCGTGCCAAACAATGCCATTCTCAGCTGTGCCCTGCACAAAGATTTTCCAGCTCGCGGGACTACAATCTATGTGCCAGAAGCCTGAGAGTGATTGTTACTGGGTCAGGTTAATTACACAATTAACTCTTCACACTGCCACCACCACCTTTTTACAGAGAAGGAGGAAACTCACAAATCTTAGCAGTAACACTATGATATTAACTCAAGCGTCTGTAATGCAAGCTGTCACTACAGACAGATATATTCAGAGGATTATTACATACAGTAGCACTCTTCAAGAGACAGGGATTCTTTAGTTTGCATTAAAAGCTTTAGAGACAGTTTCAACACTTTTCAAAATAGGGTTTATTACTAAAAAGGTCAAAATGGTGCAATTAAAATATTTACAGAAAAAGATGTTACAAAGATATAAAGAGAACAATAAAACAACTGAGAACTAAAAGAAAGGAGTTCAGAAGGCAGAATACTTGCAATGTCCTTGGTTTTAGCAGAGTCCAATTGTCGGAACAAAAAGATTGCCTTGGCTCTCAAGTCTGTTAGATATTTCCTGATGTTAAATGAGTGCTCCCTTCTCCAACCTGTCAGTTTTTTTCTATCATATTAAAGGGGTGTCGCCTGAGAACAAATGACCAATCATCCAGTTTGGGGATGGGGTCTAGGAGGTAACCAAAGTTATTACAAAGTCACCTTACAATTTCATAACCTCCAATAGGTACTGGTAGCATCCTACCAACTGGCAGATTAATATTCAGAATTCTATTTCAAACCCAGGGATACCAAATACAGTGTACCCTTGTCACCCAGGAGGGAAGAGACTTTGTTCTTCCCCATTCTAGGTGCTAATATAGTCATGTAAGGCCTTGTTTGACTCGCATTAAAATTATATATCCAAATATATACCTAATATTAATGTGCCCAGTTCCTGCTGAACTTTATGAATTGTATGAAAAATGTCTACATGTGGAATGTATGTTTTATGGCACGCTCTAGCCCTAATGGCCTAACAGGTCATGACTGACGGAGTTATTGTTTTATGATCAGGCAGAGGAAAGTGGTTTTCAAAGCAGACCTCTTGCACCAGACTAATTGTTTTATTTAAGATAAGAGGACCTTTTTAAGTCCATTCAACGTACAGCTATAAATTCCATTTCAAAAGGGAGGAGAGAGGAGAGAAGAGACAAAATGGCTGAGGCCTAACAAGATGGCTATCACGTACAGCGTCTATGTTTCTATTGCTCACAATCGTCACAATACCTATGCAGTTTGTGTCTGATCTGTTTCTGCAGTGCTTTTTGCACATGCGTTTTTGACGAGTTTTGATGCATTTTGCATTTTTATTTTTATGTTTTTTTCTGGGCAGATAAAAATGCAAAACACCTCAAAAACGAGTAAAATCTTAGCCAATAATGACATTTTATATGTGTTTCCATTGAAGTCTATTGGACTAAAAATGCAAATTGCTGCGGGAAAAGAAGTCCCTGACCCTTTCCAAAAAACACGCCCGCAAAAACTGCATAGATGTGAATGTGATCCATAGGAAATCATAATAAATGGCACGCACTGTGTTCCTGCAAAAAGTAAAATGCATGAAAAAAAACCACAGGTGTGAACCTGGCCTTAATAAATATTTACATCGTGTTATCAAACTAAACACCTTGATGCTTTCATTGCTTAGTGTTTTTGTATTGTAAGGAATGCAGTTGTATTTGTTGTAAACACACATGTGGCATCCAATTTTAGGCTGCATAATTTAATTGAGCTCATGTGATATCATCTGTATGTTTCATGCTTTGTATTCATTAAAATTATTATTCTGAGTCATGTTTATTTTTAATTGGTTTTGAACTTCTTTCTGCTTGTTCAGCTCCACTAATTTCTACACAACATTGCTTATCATTCAGTCTCTCCTGGTAATAACTATAGCACTATTGGTCTGTCACAATCTCCATGACCTAAATACAAAGCAATTGGCAAATTAACAATCATACATTTTGTTTGATTGTAAAAAGTAGTAAAAATCATGATGGTCAAATCACAGTAAAAATGTTATTTTTCTTTAAAAAGGTCTTTATCTTGTGTCAACAGGAATTATTCATATAAATTCATTATATCTGTGAGGAGTCCGGTCACCTACTTGCAGATGTTACAGAAGTGAGATTAGGCTGAATTAACAACCTATAACAATCTGTCACACAGACTGTTATTTTAAGAAACTAGAAGCAGATGACTAAAAATAACAGTCACATGGCTAATAACAATTACTGTGAAAATGAACACACGTGTTACAGCTTAGGGAACTGGAAGTCTTTGGAATTTCATACAAATATTTAATTGGTACCCGTTTCTATATTGCGATTCCCTCCTACTTATAGGAAATGTGCAGTGGATTTGTATATTAATTCCTTCCTTATGGTCAGGACTACAAAAACAAATATTTAAACATCTTTATCTTTTTGAGTCAGGTAAATATGAAATACTTCATATTCCTTTATACACCCAGAAGGTAGAGCTTTAGGCTCTTATTCATGTTTTAAATAAGATCTCTCATGAAACACTTTTAATTTTTTTACCTGCCTAGATTTGTTCCTTAGGGGGTTATTTACTGAAACTGAAGAGTGCTAAATCTGGTGCAGCTCTGCATAGAAACCAATCAGCTTCCCAGGATTTATTGCCAAAACTGAAAGTTTTACTAAACCCACAACAGTAAAATCAGTCTGTATATGCCATAAAGAATGCTTATTATACTTACTGTGGAACCAAAGGGGTTAATCCCCTGCATTGTGTAAAAAGGCTGTGTGACCTGCAGGGGTGGACTGACAACTCATGGGGCCCCCGGGCAATAGGGGATAATGGGGCCCCTGTGTCCTTGCCCAAACTCAAAAAAGCCTATGAAAAAGGTACCAGGGGCATCTCATGGGGCCCCCTACTGACCCCGGGCCCTCGGGCAGTGCCCGAGTTTCCAAATGGTCAGTCCGTCCCTGGTGACCTGTCTTCTCTGATCCTCCCCTTCTTCCACAGTCACCAATCCATCTGCAATAGTTAGAGCAGCAGTGGCAAGTCTGCACATGCTCTGTTTGGTAGGTATTGTTTAGAGAGTCTTTTTTTGGGGGCGGGGAGGGTGCATGTGATTGGAACAGGGCCAATCAGCACTGTCCAGACAGGGTCAGGGATCATGCAGCCTCATAGGACAGTCAGAGGAGAATGAAACTCCTCCTATAAGCTTAACCAGTGCTCAGTTGGACACTGACAGATGTCACAAGACTGCTATTTATGGCTGGTGAGAAAGGCTATTTAGCAGTTTATGTTTTCTAAAATAATTGCATTTTTATGTTCTGTGTACTGTGGAAGACTGGATATAGTGAATGCGGGCTCATGCGTTTAGTAACAGTCTAACTGAACAAGCTGAAGTTAGAAGCTGATTGGCTACCATGCAAAGCTACACCAGATTCGCAGTGCACTAGTTTTAGTAAATTCTCCCTTAGTGTCAAAGTAACATGGTCGGACAGATATTCCTCCTACCCGACAACGCTGCGGAAAAGGAGATGGATTTGTGATTGAAGGATCTGCTCTCTGGCATAGGGGCCAATCTGGACACAAGTGCTGCCATTCCCTCCCAAAAAATATTTTTTTAATCAGGTACATATGAATTATTTTATATGAGTAGTATGTAGTCATTGATACATGCAGCAGATAGAGCATTAGGATCGTTTTTGTGTTTTAAAGATGATCTATTATTAAACTTTTTTTATGTATTTAACTGCATATACAGTAGCAATTGGTCCCAACCATATTTGTTACTTAGTTTCTAAACAGCTTGGGCAGACCGGTATTCCCCCATCTAGAGAGCAGATGGATGTATGATATCAGCTCTGGTCTCTGGCAGCAAGGGAAAAAAAAAAAAAAAAAATCACACAGCCTGTGGTGCTGTGTGTCTATCAGTGGCTGATTGGACAAATTCACAGCCTGGCCGATGGATCACATAGTGCTGCAGTGCTGTGTGACATTTGAGTTTTATAAATGAGCAATCAGTGCTTTTGGAATGTGGCATATATGGTCCCAACAATGCCAATAGCTCATTCATAAAAGTGAAGGCTAACACAACACTGCGGCACTGTGTTATCCATTGGGCAGACTGTATATGTGTAAATACAGCCACTGATAGACACACAGCAACACAGTGCTGAGTCATCTGTCATTATTATGAGTAAACGGTCAGTGTTGTTTGTTCGTTCATTCATAATAGTAAATGATCGCTCAGATCTGCTGCTCACTGTAATCTATCTGTGGCTGTTTGTACACACGCAGGGCATCGGCAGATACATTACACAAAGCTGAAGCTCTATATGATCTTTTACTATTATGAATGAACAAGAAACAGTGATTATTCGTTCATAATAGTGACAGATCACTCAGCCTAGAGAGGCAGGGCTCTGTGCTGGCTGTACCTCCCCACAAGTAATGCCCACAATTTGGGTTTCAAAAGGGGGTGGAGCTACAGTTGGTGCTAAAAGTTGTGTTTAAGAGACAATAGGGCTGCCAATCATAGTGGAATCAATTGCTATATGCATTTGGTTCCCTGGGGACATAAATAAAAATGAAAAAAAAACAACAGTGCTCTTTTAAAAGATCTCATTTAGCTTTGAAGAAATAAGCCCATTGTTCATGGAGTTCAATAACTTACCATTAATATCTGATATTTATTGTGTGACAATCATAAAAAACAATGGATGTTCTAACTCCACATTTAGGTCTTTACCAAAAGACAGAAGGAAGAGCTCCCCACATGTATACTGCAATACATAGTTCCTAAGATGGATATTAATATGGCAGCAGAATAGTGTGTTTCACCATCCTTGTCCTTTACATGTTTCGGGGCTTCCTGATTTTTCATGAAGATGTGACTTTAACAGTGAACATCTAAAAATAAACATAGGAGAATAGAACACTATACCTATGGTGACCGTAGCAGGCTGGTATTAATAAAGATGTGTGTAAAACATATATAGGGAAAAAAATGTACTAAATTTGACCTACAGGTTGCCCATTGTTGTTTTTTTCCTGTGTTCTATGCACATCTTTATGACATCAACCATATACTGGCACACTTGATATAGTATTACCTGCATCTCACATATATTCTTAAGGGTAAGTTGTGCCTACATTCCAGCACTCCTATTTGGACACTTTGAGTAGTTTTCTGTTGATGTATGGTGTTTGGTTTATATTGACCAATTGTAAGTGTTCTTATTCCAATCTCCTCACTCACCCCGGGACAATGATATCTGGGACACTCTACCTGTATCTTCTTACATGGTTTTAGTATGTTAAACATACAGTAGCACAAATCTGCTTCGATGTACATCTCTACGTTATGTAGTTTATGTGTGAAATCTATTGTTATATTTAGAATTGCACTATTATAGTCTTCACATCCTCCAGAAGAAGCGGGAAGCCATAAAGCATGTAGAGGTCGAAGATAGTGGAACCCCATTTTCAGCTGCCGTATTAATATCCATCTTAAGAACTATGTATGGTAGTATATATGTGGAGAGTTATTTCTTCCATCTTTTGGTGAAGATTTAAGTGTGACAATAGAATATCCATTGTTTTGTTTTTTTTTTGCTGCCATGTGATTTGCTGATTAGCAATTTGTGTTACCAACTACACAGGTGTACCTAATAAAGTGGTCGGTGAGTGTATATTGTATATGGTCACTTCTCTCTTTGCTTGCAGTTTGATTGTAATTTCTTACTAATATTATTATTATTATTATTATTATTATCATCACTATTATTAATAATAATAGTAGTTGTGAGAAACTAAACTCAAATTTCAAGCACAGGAAAAGGTGACCATATACAATATGAATGCCCCCACTAACAGACAATAAAATTATTATTACTATGATTATTATTATTATCATCATAACAGTTTGTTGCATTACTAGTGATGCTAAAGCTGTGCTCATTTACACATGAATATTGAGATCCAAGTATAATATGTGTGTTGGAAAAACCTGCTTCTCGTGTGGGCCAGTCTTTAGAATGAACTGCCTTGTCTTGATGAGTGCTATGGATAGGGTGGTACTAAAATCTATAGATCTACCTACAGACGTGCCCCTTAACCAGTGTTGCAAGGTTTGCTGGGACATGTAGTCTCAGGGGTGCAGCAAAGCTAGAAGTAAGTGAAATAGATAAAAAGTAAATATTTCTAAAATAAAGAAATGACATTTGAATTCTTAACATGCTGCAGAGAAGACTTCCACTTCTAAGACATAAAAGAGAATGTTACAAGACTTTTTTTTCACCAGATCTGCTATAATGTCTCTTTCAGAAGTCCTCTGGCACTCAGAGAATGAGAAAATTCCACAAGGTTTTTTTTGTTTTTTTTAGGGGGATTAGGGGAAAAGCATAAGTATTTCTTGTAAAGTTCACCTAAACTATAACATGGATCTAAGATCAAAAGTTAACATGAATCAATATTAACAGCTTTGCTATGGAGGATAATTAAATTAAATGATTCTAAAGTCAAACAATTTGTTACCTTAATGTATTCCCTGCATTAAGGTAAAAAAAAAAGCCCCACTACTTGTCCCCCAATCCCTAAACACTTTTTCCACTACTGTCACCGATCCAGTGATGCATCGGTTGTAGCACCACTCATGCTCCTCTTTTCCTGGACTCACAGGAGACTTTGAGGGAGTGGAGCCATAGGCTCCTGATGCTGTCAATCACACTCCAGTAAGGAGGGATCGGGGGCATAGCTTACTGGTGAATAATGAATGAATCTATGAATGCAGGAAAGGCTCAGGAATGCACCCACACAGATGCCCCCTTTGCGCCCAGCTTGCTAATGGGCCACTTGGGGGAAGAAGGAGTGGACAGCACCAGCAGGGGGAATCCAGAAGAGGATCTAAGGAACTGCTGGAGAAGGTAAGTATCACCTCTTTTTTATTTTAATTTTTAAAAATAGCCTTTAAAGAAATATGGAAGAACTGAAATATTAACATTGTTTGAAAAAAAGAAGTCTCAAAATTTTCTAAAAATATGAAGGCCTATACTACTCAGGTGATTATGGTTAAAAGTGAGAATCAGAAATCACACTGACTGATCTTATCCAGCAATGACTTAGAAATGAATCCAGTGCAACAATTTCCCCAGAGAAATGTCACTGCTTGTATTAAGTCACATTTACATAAATATATATAACAGGACTTCCATTACTCTATCAATCTCAGTAAGACTGATGACATAGCTTCATATTAAAATAAGTGTATAGGTACAATTTAAGGTATCCATTAAAACAGAACTCTGGGTAAAAACTTCTTTACATGTCCTTGTTACTAATTTCTTACCTTCACTGAATTTTTCTGGCTCGCTCAATAGTTGCTCTGAAATAACCTTTTCATTTTCAAATCAAACTGGTAATTCAGTTTGGTTTCCTGCTTGTACGAGTGGCTGCTATGCCTCCTATTTCCCCAGCCACTGGTCTTGGCACATCCCTTCTGTAGTTCTTTCTCCGGGAAGCAGTGATGTAATTCTGCCCCACTTGCAGTGGTGGGTGGACCGAGACTCTCAGACACATTTAACATGTACAGTCCTAGTGTGCCTGCCCACATTCACTAGCATTCCCTGTGATTGATGGGAACTGTAGTTTACTTTTACTGCAGAGAGAAAGGAAAGATATGATGTAATCCCTGCTGTTATACCTGCTCCTTGGCAGAGCAGATGCTATTATCTTTTGAGTTAAAGAGATGAGGTCATGAAAATTCAAGTAGATTTTTCTCCTAAATGGTATGGATTTTCAAAATGTCACTGTTTAGTGTTGTGTAGGGGGGCATACTAATGTGTGAATTTTTTGCCTATCCAAGAGTTCTTCTTTAATGATAATTAGATGGGAGTCAATAATGGGTATTCAGAGATCTTTACCAATCTAAAGGGCAAACAAATTCACCATTGTTCTCTTCGGCTTTGTAAAATGGTTAAAAAAAAATTTCCTCCTCGTTTCATGACTCCCTGTGTTTCATGTAACTAAAGGAAGTGAGTACAGAGGTAAACAGTATATCCAGATAAAAAGAAAATGTAATAGTATAGCTATTGAATTATAATTGACACCCCCAATAAATTCCAACATAGAAAAGCCTGTGCTGTCATTTCTTCTCCACTAACC